TCTTCCTCTCTAAATATTTTAATTCTAATATTTACTTTTCCTTCTGCAACAAAGATCGTCGGGTTTCACGAGGACAAAAAAAGTTCAAATGCTTCTTGTTTCAAGGTGGACATTGAAACGTCGTATTGTGGAGTACGGGCTTCTCGATGATTTCGGATGAGCAACTAGACAATCTCGTAGAACGTTCCGTTTCATGATGGGTGATCAATCAACGGAACGGAAGAGGGAGAGTATTGGCCACGTTGACCTTGGAGACTGGGTGTCTGGAAAACCGGAATAGCGAATACCGAATAGTCGCGAATAGTCCCGAATAGCGAATAGTGAATAGTACGAATAGTGCGAATAGTCTCGAAGAGTGCGAATAGTGGCGAACAGTCTCGAATAGTGGCGAATAGTAGCAAATCGTAGCAAATAGGGTACCCAGTATCTCGCAGTCAACGTCGCAGCAACGTAGGATGGGATTTTCCCGCTAAAAAGCAAAGACGCTTATCAGGGCAAAAGGTGTTTCTAAACGTAATTTCTTCCGTTTTAACCGCTGCAAAAGCGTAAATACGTCTTTATTAGGTTATCCTTGTGTTTTCTGTTTTCTTAATGTCGGGGATGGACAGCCCTAGCCTGAATCCGGAGAAGAAAAGATAATAAATTCACTGAAATTCTGTTGCTTGTTTGGATAACTAATTAACGCCGGAAATTAGATCTAAAACGGTGACTATTGATGATTATTCGTCACTGTTCGCCACTTTTCGCGATTGTTCGCCACTATTCGCACTATTCGAGACTGTTCGCACTATTCGCGACTATTCGCTATTCGCTATTCGGGTTTTCTAGACACCCTTTGGAGACTCTAGAGTCAGCTGGGCTGTCGTAAGACACCCTCACATTTTCACCCCTATGATCACTTCGCACCCTTGATGGCCACTCAAACCTTTGCGTCGCATCTAGGACAATGCTACAGTTCTGTTATTAGTAGAACATTTAAAAAAAAAACAACAACAACGCTAGTATAGTTTCTTTTTACATTGTTTTAGGAGTACCTTGTTAAACATGAAAGGTTAAAGGAAAATCACCAACCCCCATGCATGACAGTAACCAGGTTATGGTGTCCGTCAATATGCCACAAGCTATTTGGAGCAGCCACAACGAAATACGTCGTTAAATGTGAATTAATATATTTCTTGAATATAAATTTAGTTGTTGAATGTGAATAAATGTATTCGTGAATAATAACATCATTAAATGGGAATGAATATAAACTTTGTGAATTTTGCACCATTTCGCCTACCATAGCTGCATGCCTCAATCGACGTATCAGCTGGAGTATGGCCGTCACGATGCGCGACGTCGTCGTCGTTGGGCCTGCGCTCGCGATCCACGCCGCTAGCCATGTTGACCAAGAAAAAAATTGGTTTTCTATTTCTATGCATAAATGTGTTTTTCTTTCTATAGTTATGGGGCTCCACCTGACGACCCTTCGGGCCGCCGGAGTTCCGCTATTATTCCAGACGGATCAGGGTAAAGCCTAAGCTGACTACCAAAGTCAACAAACTTGATCATGAATACAAACCGGGAGGAAACAGTAGGGGCTAGGACTGTTTCAGAGCTCTACATTGCACTCTGCACGATCTGAGATTGTCTCACTGGTTCTATTTTGTAAATAATAACAGGAAACCGTCTTTTGACATCATGTGAGCAATTGTGTCAAACAGAAGCGTATCACCTCGACCAGGTGATATGCTTCTGTGTCAAACCATTGCCCTTATTCCGCGCAATTGATTTTCGAGTCGACATAAAAGTTTGTTTGCAAAGGAAATCGAACTGCTCTCTACGATTTTTTATTCACCATTTTTAGCATAAATGCCTAAATGGTCCTAAATAATGACATGATGATCAGAAGGAAAACAAGCTTTAATACTTCTACAGGCACTCTCCTTCATGCGTGTTGTGTGACTCAATTTTCGGAATGGCGTTACGCGTGATGTGATCAGGCTGATTAAAATGGCGACGTCGACAATTGAGACTGTTATTTAGCGGCGACAAACGATTTTTTTTTTCGTTAATTGAGTGACTGCGACACCACCGTTTAGAGAGTTGAAAGTTTTCTGTGGGCTGATGATCGCGGTAAACATTCTTTCGTCAAGTCACGTCTTATATTTTATCCTGTTTCCGATACTTCCGCGTGCAGGTACGTTTCAGTGACTCAGTATCTATTCGACATCTGTTTCATTTGCTGCCTGATATGAAAATATAATGGTGTTGGTGACAAACATGGGCAAATTACGTTCGTTAAACTAGAAGTTAAAGTCGGATCACAAATAAGTTTAATATAACTATAAAATTATGTGAAGGAATACATGTTTTCAGATGGTTGTCTGAAGCCCATATTGACAGTTAATACAGAGTAAGCCCAGGTCAAACGTCGAACTAAATCGGCGATCCAAACGGGTAAGGCTCGAATTGAACTCAATTCGAATTTAGTAGATCGACCAAACATCGAACTTATCACGAACTTAATTCACTCAGTTTAGTTCAGCTTTGGGTTCGTCTCATATGAAGTTTGACGTTTGACCTGAGCCTTGGCTAAGTTTGGATTGATAATACGATTAACCAAAGTGTCCCGTGTTATTCGGTGAAATGTTGATGTAATTCATTAAACGATAAAACAAAGCTTTATCTCTTTATCTACCGCGAAACCATCATTAGCCGAAGTTATTTGAGATATTAGGGACCTTAAGATACGAGGACGGGAAAGGCCAGAACGGGACGCTAATGGACGCGGGAAACTTTCGTGGGTCCCGTTGTGTCGCCAAAAACAAAATGCTTAAGATGTGTATTTTCGCAAAGGACGGCGACGTCAATAATTCGAACTTCGTACAAGCTATTCACAGAAACAATGATATGCTTTAGACTATAAAAGACATAGTAGAAATCTTATCCTATTAAGCTGAAACGATAGTTTACAGTGATGCCGAATATCTTTTCCTTTATAAGCGAAGCAAACATCTGTCAATACTTTAATAGAGAAACCAGAATTTCCGTATGAAAAAATTAAACGAACAATCTGATCTACCCGCTTCAGATGGC